CTTGTAACGGAGGTCTGGATAAAAGAGATTTTGAAACAAGTAAAGTTTGTTTTGCTTCATGTGCAGCACAAACCCAAAAGAATAAAAAAACTCCTCTACAGACCTCCATATCATTGACTGGTATAGACTCTCACAAATGCAAATACTGATCTTACCCGGATCAGACTTGGACCGTCACGACTGGCTCTGAGCTGAAGTTGAATGAGATGGGGGGGTACCTGCAAGACACTCCGATGCTAAAGTAAGTAGCAGTACGAGCAGGCACGAAAGTGTGTGTATGGTAAAAGAATGAATACCTGACCCTCTGGGAACAGAGGGTATTTATAGCCCCCAGCGCTGGGCCAAGGTCCCCTTCATTGGGCGGTCAGGTTTGGCCCAATGAAGGAACTTCCAGGTTCTACGTGTGTAGTGGGGACCCGCACGTGGTCTCCTTCCTGGGTGTTCTGCGAGAAGTAAGGACGGACGAGGACGCGGTCTTTTCGGGATCCAGGTGATGGTGTAATGGTCATAGTCTGCCCTACAAGGGGTGCTCGAGCTGAGGTCGAGCTGGACTGCATGAAGTTGAGGATGTCGCGCTCGCGGACAGTGGCGGACACGGTTGTAGCTTCTTGGTCGGTGTGACCCCCTGCAAAATCGTTTGGATTGGGCCTTCATCCTTGCTCTTGGGCCAGCCCGGCCCAGTCCAGAACAGGAGCCCCCCAAGTCGTGGTTCCTGGAGTAGGAGTCATGACTTGATCTTAGTTCGCCTCTGTCACGAGGTCCCGTGCTCGGACAAGAGATTTAGTTCCTCGTGGTCACTCGAGGAGTTTCCCCCGTGTCGCGCTCGTGAGATAATTCCTTTCGAGGAGCGCTCGGGGGACTCTCGGCGGGCTGTGTTCATTGAGCACGCGAGGCATCCCTTAGGAACCGTGCCGCCACCCTATTGAAGATAGGGTCATCATTGCCTAGGGGAGCTTTGCGTCGAGGAGGGAAGTTTGTGGTTCCCCGGGGTGACGTTTTGTATTCCACGTCATCACTATAAATAGGGTCCTTGGGCCCCAAAATATGTTTTTCCTCTTCGCGCTTCTCCTCCTTCCTCTGCCTCTACTGTTGCTGTTTTTCATAAGACCGCCGTGCTCTCCGCCGCTGATTCTCTTCTCTGCCGCCGTATCTCTTTCCTGATTTCAAGTAAGCGTCTTATCCCTCATGTTTTTCCTCTATGGTATGTGATATTTTCCATTGTTTTATACGTTGGAGACTGTGCGTCTGGGATTAGCCCCGGTAGATTCGTATTTTGGCTCGGCAAATCCATGTTTATGCCCGACAAACGCATGTTTGTGCCCGGTAAATGCATAGTTTAGGTATGTGACTCGCAATGCTACCTGGGGTCTTCATGATTCAGGGCGCCTAATTCGTGATAGTGCCCGGTAAATTCATAGTTCTAGTTTTAGGATTTACGATATCGCTCGCCATGTCCATAGCCTAGGTCGACATATTTGTGACTGGACGGGATGTTGGCCCATTTAGGCAATCTGTAGGAAGACTTATCGCGGTATCTTAGCGTCGGGGAGGTGACTCCACTCTTTTGTTCGAAACTTCAACTTTTTAATCGTGTGTGGAGTGTGACTTGGTTTGTCGTGCCCTTCTTCCCGTCAGTTATGGCGAGCGTGTGGATTTGCTCCCCCATTGACCAGTTTCCTGTGTTTTGCAGGAAACAATGGCGGATGAACCGTGTTCTTCGGGGCGCAATGAGGTGGAAGATCAAAGCATCGAGGAGAATGTGAATCTGGTCGATACCATCGACGATCCTCTGCTGGAGTGGGTGGGCTCCGAGCCCAGAGGGATTGCTTCTGCTTATAGTCGGCGCAGTTGGAGTGCGTATACTATCGTCGAGCAGGGCGGTAGTCAGCCCGACTTTCAGAAAAACTTCGTTGTCACCAGACCGACTCTTACCGCGCAGATCTGCTCGGAGTTCCCCGAGTACGGGTTTCCCATGTATGAGATCGCTTTTAAGGACCTTGGACTAAAGCTCCCCTTTAGTGATTTTCAGGTCGGGGTCTTTAGTCATCTGGAGCTGGCCCCGTCGCAGCTTCACCCCAACTCGATTGCTTTCCTCTGGGCGTTCGAACTGACGTGTCGCTTTTTAAGGATTGGGGCGACCATACCTCTCTTCTTCAGAGTCTTCCATTTACAGCGCCTGTCTCGGGGAGGTAGGCACAGTTGGGTTTCCCTGAAATAGTCGAAGAGACTGTTCAGGATGTATATGGATTATGTCCGGGGGTTCAAGGACAAGTGGTACATCGTGCGGCCAGTTACCAAAACTGGTCTAGAGTCTGTATACGAGGAAGAAACGGTGGTGACCGACGATCACGGGGAGGCTCTTCTAGACGATGAGGGACTCCCGGTGTTGGGGCGTGTGTCCAAGTTTCCTTTGCATTGGACCTTGCATCACTACGAGCACGACACCGGGCACTACCATACGCCCGCGGGTGAGATGAGCACCGAAGATGAGGAGGCCTATAGTACCCTCTGCAGATATGTCGATAGTTTCTTCCCTGCCCGGTGGGCCACGAGGGAGGGAAAGGATATTCTCGACGAAGATGGTTATCCGACCTTTGAGGCCCAGCCTATCGATACGAAGGCGCTCGTGGAGTGCCAGTCCTTAGGGCAGGCCGCGAACCTGCTAGGTCATTTCTTTTTTCGCCTTGTTTGAATTTCTTCGCTTGTTATTTGCTCGTCACTAACCAGGGGTTCTTTTATGCAGGTCTCATGGTTGGACGAAAGAAGAGGCTCCTGAAGCTGACACAGGATAAGAAAGTCAACAAGAGAGTGGTGCGAGCTCCTCAGGCGACGAGGATGGGCCTGCTAACTAGCCCGGGCGATGCTTATGGAGGGTCCCCGGACGCTCAGGATGTCGAGCCGCATACCGACCTGATACCGAGGAAGAGGAATCAGGTGGAGAGCCAACCGGAGGTCGGCGATGACTCTGGTGCGGTGAGGTCCTTCGGGTTGCCCCCCTGTTTTAAAGAGGAGGGTTTCTTCGAGGGATTTCCCTTGTCCGTAAGCGCTGACGAAGCTGATACCATTAGGCGGCTGAGCAAGGAGAATCGAAGAAAGCATCTGGCCACCAACATAGTCGGGATGGTCAAGATGGCCGAGATGGCCGTTGTCCTGGCCGAGGAGGGGGTAGATTCTGATCGTATCAAGGAGCTGCAACAGGAGAAAACTGCCCTTACTGCGAGCTCACGAAAGTTAAAGGCTGCCCTGGAGCGCTCCGAGGAGATGTTCCGCGAGCAAGCCGAGTTGTTGGCCGCGGAGAAAGAGAACTCGGGGAAGATTGCCGAGGATAGGGAGTACTTCCGTGAGGACCGGGAACGCTTGGAAACTGACAACGGGCGCCTCGCCAAAGAGATCGAGGAACTAAAGGACGCCATGCTCCCTGCCGAGGATGAGTCGGAGGAGACAGCTCCTTTGCGGAGTCGGTCGGAACTGGTTGCTCGTATTCAACTCCTCGAGGCAGACTGTGTCGGTGCTTTGGCGGATGGCTTTGAAGCCGCGGTTAGCCAGCTCGCTCTGTTGAATCCTGATCTGAATACTGAAGGAGTGGGCTACATGTCTCAGATCATCAACGGCCAAGTCGTGCCCCCGCCCGAGTCTCCTGTTGTCGGCGGTGATAGCCCCGGGGAAGTCTAGCTGTGAGATCTTAGTCGGGCATGTGCACCTTTTCTTTTGTTTGATGGTTGTTTTTGGGGCGTGCATGTTTTACTTTTTGGGCCTGCGTGCCTGCTCTTGTACTTTCCGAACATCGCCGGCCTTCTTGGTCGGTTTATTTCTATTTGTTTTGTTGCCCACGAGCTTTTTGAATGAATGTTTGTTTCGAATTTGATTATTTGCCCGTGTTTGTGTTTTGATATTTTGCGATAAAACTTGCCTAAGTTATGGCCC